CCCCAAAACCCCAAAACCCCGTCAGGATATCAGCTATTTAAACACAAAGAAATGAATTAATTAGAATAATATTCGATGAATCTTTTCAATTATTAAATCACTGTGTTCTGTTATTTAAATTCCCAAAAGCAAATACATTTTTACTATCAACTCATTCTCATTAAATTGCCAATCTTTATTTTCAAAATGTCTTTTGTAGGTTTGTATGTGGAGAATATAGCTATTATCATTGATAGAAAAGTTATAAGCAATAGTTGCTCAGTAGGAAAATAAAATGATACACCTGTTTTATATTGAGCATCATATGTCTTCATAATAATATAGGATATACTGAGTCCTATTAATAATCCAAGTAATGAAGATGCTAAGATCAAGATAAAAGTCTCATATATGTATAGTCTGACTAGTTTATGAGATCTGATTCCTACTGCTCTCATTATACCTATCTCCTTAGAAGACTAGTACAAGTTAGCACTCATAGTTGAGCTTGTTGAAAAGAAGCATAGAAACATAGTGATTATGATTATGATATCAAATATCCAGCTTAATATACTGTCAAAATTGGACATTTAGGTTGCTTTGGAATGAACTGTTACTGTTGAAGGGTCTAATATTTATTTGATTTCATGTGTGAGTTTATCTTCTTACTCAATGCTTACCCAGCTGTGTAGTTTCAAACTTAGTTGCTTATAAGAAACTTCTCTTATTGTGCCGAGATCCATAAATTACATGTACATTGGAATTGATAAGAGCATTCTTTGCTAATAGCCATTTTCAATATCACTCATAAAAAAGTAGGGAGAATTACTAAGAATTGTTGCTGGTCTCAGTTTAATAACTTTTTAAGGTTTCTTGACAAAGTTTTCATAAGCCAATTTCACAATGAAGTAAGGCATAGAGTCATTTTATTAGTGAGGTTTTAGTCCCAGCTGGCCTGCAGAAAATTAAGAAATAACAGCTCCTTATGATCCTGTCGCTGAATATAGATTCTCGCCTGTTTTAAGGCTTGAATATTGGTAATCTCGCATAAAATCACCTTTGTTAGTCCTATTAAAAACATAAGGTGTGACTCCAAATACTTTAGAAGTAAACTTTTTCAGTTAGCCTGGATCTGACATCTCAGTTTTCCTAATTGTATAAAAGGAAGAAGCTTCATTTGTTATCCATGTAAATGAATCAATTTTGTCTATGTTTCTTTAAAGAATCGGCTCAATCACTTAGGGTTTCAATTAATAGTACTACCATGCGCTGAATGCAGGATAACTTCCCCAGGTTTTATCAGTGCCAGAGGCTCTTTGCATGCTTAGCAGTTTATAACTCCCAAGTAAAAAAATGATGAAACCGAGAGATAAAGCGAATAATCTGCTTGTTTTCCTATTTCTTAGATTATGCACCTTCATGTTATTTAGAATAAGAGTCTTGATGTCTTACTTTTCCCAGAAAAATATGACTTTTATCATAGCATATTCAAGATAGTTCTAGAGATTATTTGCAATCATGACTAGACCAGCGAACATTGCCATAAGAATCATGAAAAAAACCTCCAGCGATAAAGCTACATCCTCATATAAAAGTGACTTAGGCAAAGTGTAATAAATATTCACACCAAATAACAGTGAAATAACACCACCAAGAATTATTGGTACTCTATTAACTTAATTCGTCTTTACTATCTCGACATAAACAGCCCTAATCTTTGTCTTTTGATAGCTCAAAGCATCGTTTAAGTTTTAACCCATTAACTTAATAATTGGAGATATTGAACTTACTATCGGAATAAATATTCCAATCATTAATGCTTCAGATGCTGACTTGAAGCTAGGCAATGGAGAAAATCCATTAGATACTTATTCATTGAATATAGAAGAGTATATTACTGATAGGATTGGTATTGCTATCAACATTGAAATTAAAACTGCAGGTATCGCAAACATCATCGTCTTTGTGATAATCATAAATACAATTCCAACTTTAGATTCTCCATTCATTCTAATTATCCCAATATCCAGACTTTTTTCCTCAACGCCTATTGTCAAAATAGAATCTAAAAGCATCACTGATATTTACATAAAGAAAATTCCTATTAGCTTGAAGATTAAATTGTATATTAGTATAGCTCTATCGTATTTTTGCATATCATTTAAGAGGTAGAGTTTTGAGGAAACGGGATAGTATCCAGTATCATTTATGAAGTTATTCACATAACTAGTTATTTTCCTTTAAGTCGTATCGTAGTCCTCATTAGAATACCATTTGTATCTCGGACTAGGCAGAGACATCACTAGGTAATCACTATATTCAGTAAGGTTTGCTACTTTCTTGACGTACTGTCTAAATTCTTAATGAGTAAAAAAATCAAAAGGCAAATAGTCAGCTAAATGAGGGAGAAACTAATCAAACTCTATAATCAGATGGCTGTCTTGTTTAGATGTTCCAAATTTCCCGCTGTTCTCAAACAAAAAGTCTCTGATTATACAAGGAAACACAGTCATCTCTATATGATTGAGATGGCCAGCATGCTTGAATAAAGTTTTATTATTCTCCTAGGCGTATATGTTATAAGATTTTATCAGTTGAATGTAGAGTTAGTCTATAAAAACTTCTACTCTTAAAATGTCGCCTACTTCTACATCTACATAATCTGCTTCATTAATACTCAAGATACATTCACCCTTTCTTAGTTTTGAAAAATCATAATTAGTACCAATGTTAATTTTACGTTCTTACAGAGTATCAATAACATTGATACTAGTAAAAACAATCGGACTTTCTAGAAACTTCTGAGTAAATACCTTATTTCCTAACAAGTCAATTTCATATAAATCATTGTAATCAGGCAATATAATTTCCTCATAAAAATAATCATCCTCTAGATCTTAAGTCTTTTCTGTTTTAATCTCCGAAAGATCTCTCTCTTCTTAGAGAAAAAACTTTTCATCAAGCTTACTCGGAGCTTTGAGTATTTCTTGAAGAGAGCTTTTCTCATTCTATTTTTATTAGTAATAATGGTGAGTTGGTATTTCAAATTTAATATCAGACTCTGATCTCATCTGTAGTTTTTATATGCTAACCCCTGCAAAAACTTTCCTTGGGCTAAGATTATATGTGCGTCTTAATTTTAAATTTTTCTTTACTAGCTAAAGTTGATAGTCAATATTAGTGTAATTTAGGAATGCAGCATCTCTTTGCTCAAAATTGTTATTACTCTCTATTATCATATTTGAAGGTGTTAGGTAAGCATCTACTTGCCCATGCTACTCTTCAGCTAGTTTCATGAAAATTATCGGTCCTTTTTCAGTCAAGCTACCCACAATTATACTTGATAGCAGGATGATGAACACTGAGCAAAAAGATAAAGTATAAAGGCATTTATGTCTCTTATTGTCTTTAGCTGAATATATCAAATAAAACAGGAGTGACTATTTTATATTTCTGATATTCAGTAAAGACTGTACAAAACTACCAATTCTTTGTCGAACTTTCCTATGATTAAATAAGCAATGAAAAATGCTTACTAAAAAAATCCCATTCGATGTTCTATTAATTTTTAGTCTTTCCTTTCTGGTGATTATGAATTGCCAGTTTAAGCGTCAATATCTTTTATAGAATTAAATTTGCCAAATGATTTCTTGCTAGGGGAATGATCAATCTAAATAACATAGCTATATTATTAGTGTATAGTTCTTACATTGATAAGTTATATCTCGTCTGTCTTTGAGTATATTTAAAAGCCATTTCATTAATTGCTATCATATACAAGGTTGTCGTCATCTTAATGCTATAGCAAGCTTAGAGAGACATCTTGGTCGTGCAAATCGTTTAGAAGATCCTCAGAAAAGTATTCGCTACGTTTTAATTTAGAGTTCTTTCTCATTAATATTTTATTAAATTAATTCATAAAATGCAAGAAAGTATTACTGATGAATTACATCATTGAAACCATTTCTTTGCACTTTGGGGTTTTGGGGTTTTGGGG